TACGGGTACGCGAAGAAAGGTGCCGTTCTCGTCATGGACTTGGACATCCAAATCGAGGGCGGTGCTGGGGATGGACAAGAGGTGCCGTGGCGAAAGACACCGAGCTGTTCAGCGGGAGCTCCATACACCCGTAAATTCTAGATTCTGAACACCAGCACGTTAAGGCCTGAAAGCCGCAAGACGAGATTTCTTCATCATTTGAATTGGAGGCTCTTTTGGAAGTAAGTCTAGAATCATAAACCTGGCGCCCGCCAGCATGTTCACAGGTCAGTTGCGCAATCCAGGTATCAAGGCGTATGTAAATCCCTGAAGCCCTGAATCCAAAAAAGTCCTTGTTGAGGGAGCCTCTGAACTGTCAGGCCTCAGGAGCTGCTGCTCAACCGATGGAAGTGAGTGGCGACATCCAAGAGCTCTGAAGTGATAGATACTTTCGGGTCCTAGCGCTGTTCAGGGGGGCTTTAGGGTATTGGGTCCTGGACTTAGGGCTGTTCAAGGTATGCCGCCTTGCGAAGTACACCGCCCAAGAGGCAGTCGACCTTCAAACTTGGACTGCGATGTGACGGCATGGCAACAGAGCTTCTGCGGGGCTCAGGCATGGGGTTTTCTCTTCTTTGTCAAGCTTAGGCCGCTGCTGCTTTGGGCTTCTTTCAACCTGCTACGGCTGCTATCATTATCACATCCGTCATCACCGTCAAAATAAAGGTACAGCTTCAGCCATCGAGATTACGCGAGCGATAGCATGTGTAGGAGCCGTAGTAACCGCAGAGATGAGTATCAGAATCAGGTTAGCAGTTCTACTGCAACAGAAATCCGTTGCCCTTTCCTAGTAAAGATTAAGAAGCACGCGCAAGCTTAGGTGAGTGTAGGAAGCCTGTTGAATTCGGGGTTGGACGCGGTCATAAGCTCTTCGATAGTCTAGTACGGACCTGTCATAGGTTTGCCAGATTCGGACTTATGCGTGCAACTCTTGGTTCCGTTAATGGCCCGAAGGGGCGCTCGTACTGGGCCACGACTATAGTTCTCGGCTTGAACGTAAGCCGCCCCTCCAAGTAGAGTGGAGAGCTTTGTGCATGTTCATGGCTAAGGGTTTGGCAGGTGAGACTTTGAATCTTCAGCTGAATTCGTCTATAGTCTAGCAGCTAGAGCCTTTAGGTAAGACGCTTCTGTATCCTTTTTTTCAGTCTGGGGCAGTCAACATGATTCTCATTCCACCGCTGGCTCGGGATGCAAATACAATAGTCTCACTATTCAGGCATTAATTTTGGGTTTTGACTTGTGACTCGAAGGCTTCAGGCTTGATCGGTTATGGAAGAAGCTTTTTGGGGGGTGTCCTAAGGTTGCCATAGGAAATTAGTGCGCGGAACAACTTGAGGTTGTGGGGGACGGTTGTTGGCTCTGCTGGCTTGCACAGAGTCTTTGAGGTGGAGACCATGCGATCCACGCACAGCAAACTGTCGTGCCGGCTGGATCTGTTCTTTTCGCTGGCAGGGTTTGCTTGACAAGGTTTCAGCATTTGAAGCTCTATCTTCTGTGAGGAGAAACAGCTGACAATATCAATCAGTCTGCAAAAGCGGGCCCCGACCATCGGGCTTAGGGTTTCAAGTTTTTTCGTGCATTAAGGTTTAGGTCTTGGGACCTCCTTGATGGGTCGGGCTGCATAGCTCGCGAATGTGCAAGAGTTGTTGTTGGTCCGAAGCGCTCATCAGGCTCTGGGTTGTAGACGACACGGCTCGTCAAGCAATCTGGGAGATACAGACACTCGGGGAAGAGCACTAGGATTCGCAGCACATGGATCCCGAACAGAAACTCGCTCCTCGCGGTGCTGGCCCAGCCCTTGAGAACAAGTGTGTAATGCGAGCAAGTGTCAAGCTCACGGAAAACTGTTGCCCCTGTCTCAGACAAGGCGCCCCCAAAATTTCGCCAGGTTCAAGGCGAAGCGAAAAGACTTCATCTTCCGCACGAGCCATGAGTCGGAGACCCGTGAAGACTGTCGTTTGAGGTGTACGTCCGGACTATGTTTTCTTGCGCCTGCTGTTGCTGCTGCTGACAATGGCGATGGCGGTGATGACAGTCAGTTTGCGGCAGCACCAGTATTCTGGCTGGCGCTTTGCCAGAACATGCCAGAACGTCACCATCCCCATCATCAACAACAGCAACAACAACAACAACACCGTTTTCCTAAATCCACGTCGCGTCCATTGCTGCTAGAATTGTCCATCTCGTCGTGCCAGTTGATGGTCAGCGGCCATTTCTCATTGTTTGCAGCTCCAGTTCACACTGTTGCAGTTGCTATGCTAGGCTGCTACGTCTCGTGAAAGGTTGAGAGTGGCATGTCGGTGCGTTTGTTGCTAATGGTTCTGAAAGGCATAGTATTCAGACTATTGACAGTATTACTATTGAAGTTTCCAGAATTGTCGGTGCTGGTATAACGGAGGCCAAAGGCGTGTGCATGAACAGGTTTATCGTTGAGGTTTACCGTCTTCCATCTATCTATGGCTAATTATTCATTGGTGGTGGTGGTGGTGGTTCTGCTGCTGTTGCTGCTGCTGCTGCTGCTGCTGCTGCTTATACTACTGTTTTTCATGTCGATGTTGCTGTTGTTGCTGTTGTTGTTGTTGCTGTTGCTGTTGCTGTTGCTGTTTTTGTTGCTGTTGCTGTTGTTGTTGTTGTTGTTACTGTTGTTGTTGTTGGTGGTGGTGGTGGTGTTGTTGGTGGTGGTGTTGGTGTTGGTGTTGGTGTTGGTGTTGGTGTTGTTGTTGTTGTGGTGGTGGTGGTGGTGGTTGTCGTTGTCGTTGTCGTTGTCGTTGTCGTTGTCGTTCTCGTTCTCGTTCTTGTTCTTGGTCTTGGTCTTGGTCTTGGTCTTGGTCTTGGTCTTGGTGGTGGTGATGGTGTTGGTGTTGGTGTTTGTGTTTGTGTTTGTGTTTGTGTTTGTGTTTTTGTGTGTGTTTGTGTTTGTGTTTGTGTTTGTGTTTGTGGTGGTGGTTTGTGTTTGTGTTTGTGGTGGTGGTTTGTGTTGGTGTTTGTGGTGGTGGTGGTGGTGCTGCTGCTGCTGCTGCTGGTGCTGGTGACTGTTGTGGTTGTTGTTGTGGCTGTGGCTGTGGTGTTGTTTTTTTTCTGTGGTGGTGGTGTTTGTTGTTGTTGCTGCTGCTGCTGCTGGTGTTATTGGTGGTGGTGGTGTTTTCCTCGTGAGAGCAGAGATGCAACAAGGACCACTGAGCTACAGAGAGTCTTGCTTAGACAAGCTTTTCGGTCAAAGAACCAAGGACTGAGAAAAGGAGCAAACGGCGTCGTTGTCGCAACGAGCCGGACGATTCCACACGAAAACGACGTCGTTTTCTCTGGTTCGAGGGTTTGGCAGGGTCCACAAAGGGAGCAAACGACGTCGTCTTCGCAACGAACCGGACGATGCCATACGAAAACCGACGTCGCAAACCGGACGACTCCACAGGCAAAACCACGTCGCAAACCGGACGACTCCACAGGAAAAACCACGTCGTTTGCTCTGGTTCGAGGGTGCGGGATGGATTTTGGTGGGGGTTCCATGGCAGGACGTCGTTGACGATTCCACCAAAAAAAGCCACATCGTTTGCTCTGGTTCGAAGGTTCGTGCCGAACTTGTTGTTGTTGTTGTTGTTCGGGAGGGGGGGATGGGTTCGCAGTGTACGGGCGTACCTTGTTGTTCTTCTTGTTGTTGTTGTTGTTGCTGTTCCTGTTGCTGTTGCCGTTGCCGTTGCTGTTGCTGCTGCTGCTGCTGCTGCTGCTGTTGCTGTTGCTGTTGCTGCTGCTGCTGCTGTTGTGGTTGTTGTTGTTGTTGTTGTTGTCGTTGTCGTTGTCGATGTCGGTGCCGTTGTCGTTGTAGATGGAGGAGTAGTAGTAGTAGTAGTTGTTGTTGTTGTAGTTGTAGTTGTTGTTGTTGTTGCGGTTGTTGGTGTTGTTGTTGTTGCGGTTGTTGTTGTTGTTGTCGTTGTCGTTGTCGTTGTCGGTGCCGTTGTCGTTATCGATGGAGTTGTCGTTGTTGTTGCGGTTGTTGTTGCGGTTGTTGTTGTTGTTGGTGGTGGTGGTGGTGGTGGTGTTGGTGGTGGTGTTGGTGTTTTATGTTGTTTGATGTTGTTTTTTGATGTTGTTTGTTGTTGCCTGTTGTTGTTTGTTGTTTGTTGTGTGGTGCTTGTTGTTGTTGCTGGTTGGTTAAATGGTTGTGTTGTTGTTGTCGTTGTTGTCGTTGTTGTTGTTGTTGCCGCTGCTGCTGTTGTTGTTGTTGTTGGTGTTGCTGCTGCTGGTGTTGTTGTTGTTGTTGGTGGTGTCTGTTGTTTGTTGCTTGTTGCTTGTTGCTTATTGTTGTTTGTTGTGGGTTGTTCGTTGTTCGTTGATTGTTGTTTGTGGTTTGTCGTTTGTCGTTTGTCGTTTGTGGTTCGTTGTTGTTGTTGTTGTTGATGTTGTTGTTGTTGGTGGTGGTGGTGGTCGTGGTGGTATTGTTGCTGTTAGTGTTGCTGTTGTTTGTTCTTGTTCTTGTTGTTGTTGTTGTTGTTGCTGTTGGTGTTGGTGGTGGTGGTGGTGGTGGTGGTGGTGTTGGTGGTGGTGGTGGTGTTGGTGTTGGTGTTGGTGTCGGTGTTGCTGTTGGTGTTGGTGTTTGTTGTTGTTGTTGTCGTGGTTGTTGTGGTTGTGGTTGTGGTTGTGGTTGTGGTTGTGGTGGTTGTTGTTGTTGTTGTTGCTGTTTTTGTTGTTGTTGTTGTTGTTGTTTGCTGCTGCTGCTTGAGCTGCTGCTGGCTCTAAGATGGCAATATTGTCATCCTCCAAAGGTTTCACCAGCTTCGGAGCGCAATCTCAAGATCGCTGCCTCTCCTTCCGCCCAGGTTCTACCGCAAAGGTGTCAAGAAGTATCTGGGACTAGAGGCCCTGGGAGTGTCGCTGAAGCCGCTGAAGTAGAGCCAAGCAGTCCCTGACGGCAAAACCCCGAGTTGGGCTCCAGCTTTATCTCTGCCTCCTCCAGCACTTTTGCCAGCATGGCCGCCACGCCGATGCGAAAGTTGCGCCTGCTCCCGGCAATGCTCGCCCTTGCGGCTGTGGTCGCCCCGTGCTTCGTGGCTGGTCCGGGCAAGAAAACCGAGGTTTCGGTAGCCCCGGCGGCCGGAATGGGCATGGCTCTCCTTGCGAACATCGAGGCGGCTTCTGCCGCGCTGCCACCGCTGGAGGATGTGCCACTCGAGGAAATCGGCCAGACAAGGCAGGGGATGTTGGACAAGGAGTCCGACACCTTCATGGGCATCAGCTTTCCCATTTGGCTTTTCGTGATCGGCGGCGCCGTGCTCTGGGCCCTGACCTGGATCCTGAGCATCAAACCCGCCAAGGATGCCGAGGGCACTTACAGGACCCTAGCTGGTTTTTGATAGGTCCCATAGGGAAAGAACAGAGTCTAAGACTTCCATATGCAATGTAGGGTTATGCCGTTATACCTTTCTTCGTCCCGAACAGAGCACCAAGCAGAGGACCTACATCGGAGCCGGTGCACTGCCTCCGGATGGATTCACGAACCCGGCCGACCCCCGAGTGGTGGAAGAGGCGGCCGTTTTTTTCACAAAAAGGAGTAAAGTCTTTAAGCCTTAAACCCTGCAGCCATAAACTCCTAAACCCTTAACCGAAAAAGTCCAATTCCTTCAGCCTTTTCTGACGCCTGGGTTGGGCGATGATTTAGTAGACTTGCGGGCACGCTGTAAGATTTGAATTCCCCGTGTAAGTATCGCTCGTGAAAGGACCATGAACTAACGGAGGCCAGAGACTTCCAGAAACGCCCCAAACATGCCAAACACTAAAGGCCCAAAGCCTCAAGCCTTGTTTGCTGCCGTAAACTCTAACGCCACACAGCGCCTCAGTTGGCGGATGAAGACGACGAGCTCTACAGCGACGAGCTGCGGCCGGGTGATGCGAAGGGAAAGCGAGCCGCAAGCTCGGCCATCGTTTGAAGAGCTGAGAGAAGGGGGGGCATCTATATGCTGCAAACAACTACCACTGATATGCGAGCGTGTCATTTACATGTACACGCACGTACATACACGCATTATACAGATGTGTGGATTTGCCGGCATCTGCGAGGCCTACCCCATATCATGACATCCCATACCTTTGGAGGGTGTTGAGGCGGAGTGCGCGAACATACATCTTATGTCTAAACTTAGAAAAGCTATGTACACATAGACATACATATGTATGTACAGATGTATGTATATATGTATTGTACGTTTGTTTGTATGTATGTATGTATGTATGTGTGCAACGTATGTAAGGTAGGTAATGTATTGTAATGTATTGTAATGCGTTGCAATGTATGGTAGTGTATTGTACTGCTCTGTAATGTAATGTAGTGTAATGTAGTGTAATGTACTGTATGCATTTATGTATGTATGTATGTATGTATATATGTATGTATGTATGTATTTGCGTGTGTGTTTCAATATGTACAGATGTTAGAGATACATTGTTGTAATATTCTTCTTGCAACAGCAGAAGAAGTGTGTGTATATATATATTGCATATAAAAGTACATAATATCTATTACTATCACAGTGGTTATTATTAGTATTACTAATTTAATACCTGGTTCTTTGAATTGTTAATCTGTTAATTTTTATTGTTATCATTATGGGTATTGCTATTAAAACTCATAATTATGATTGTTATTACGATTGATAAAAACATTTGTAGGGAAAAGCTGTATGACTCTCATTGCGGTTCTTATCTGTGAGTGTTATTGCTGATATTAGCGTTAATGCAATTTGTGTTTATTAGCATGAGAAAAACATTATAGTTTGTATTATCATTATTACTATTATTATGGTCATTTTTGCTGTCATTATGAGTATCAATTGTAGTGTTATCAATATTAGTGGTTATTGTAGCAGATCTATCATTATCATGGTTATTTACAATTTACGGTTTATGAGTATGACTGTCCTTATTGTGATTATTAGTGCTCTTGAAATTGGTCTTGTTCTTAGTATTTTGCGTTTTATTCAAGTTCTAGTACGACAATTATTACTGTTGCATACACACAGATGTGCAGGTATGTACAGCAATCGTATTACATTGTCTTATGTTAGGAGGCTCTCAAAAACAGATCGCACGGAGGCATCTTGGCTTTCCCCCGAGTCTCTTAGGGCTCCGGCACAGATCCTTTCACCGCCCACTGATTTCATGTCCCACTGCTTGATCCCCATCAGGTGGCAAGTCTCCGAGGGTTTAGCTGTTGTTTGTTCTGCTTCAAGGAGCTTTTTCGATTCGTTGCGCTCTCAACTGCATTCAGTTTCACGAGCCTGCGGCAATTTTCTGCTGGCGCAAGAAGCAGCAGCGTTGCTAAGTACCTCAAAACTTCCTGTATAGAGACGATCTATGGCCGTGAAGGGTCTGGTGGAAGACTAAGGGTTTAGAATATTATTTTGCCTTCTACCTTGTCGTACTGTTGCGTGCTGCTGCAACCTGCGCGAGGCTTCAAAGTAGCCTGCACCGGATGGTCAGAGACCAGAAGTTGCCAGATGCGAAAGGAAAACTCTGGGCAAGGGTGTGTAACGTGTGTGTCTGTGTCCGCGTTTGTGTTGGGAGTTTTGGTTGTCTGGCGAAAAAGCTTCTCCCTGGCATTGCGAGTCCCGAAGCTTTCGAGATGCGTAGCCGGCTGGTATAAAACCCCAAGAAGCTGTTGCTATTCTTCTTTTACGCCTTACTCAAAAGCAGTCGTGTCATAATCTGCTGTGAGTTTATGATCCTACCTTGGGTCCTGTAAGACCAAACTGTCCAATACTGTCGGCAATTTACCAAAGTCATACCCAGCATCGTAGGTTCGTCCTGAAGGATTTCTTGATTTAGGTGCATTTCGAGCTTGTTAGGTGGGTGGTATGGTTGCTAAATCAAGGAAACCAGAACTGACTAGTTAAACTCAATGAAATGCTCAAGCAGGATGAAGATGACTGAGGCTAGCAGCCGGCACTCTGAGCTAGCACAGGGAAGCTCACCAGAGAGCTTTGCCTAAGGTCAAGTTGCGTCCGTCAGTGGTCCTCCAAAGCTCCGTCTGGGCCTGCCTGGTCGAGATGTCTGTATTTCACCCGACGAAAAAACTTCCCCGGAAACTGGGGAGTTGCGGTCTCACGCAGCTTGGCTGTCTTCCGCTTTCTGGATTTCTAGGTTTATTCACATGAAACCATATCACGGCCAACCCTTGAACTTTTAGGAGCGGCTCAGAAGTCAGACGTGTCATGATGAGCGTGAAAAGGCCGCCAATGAGGATGCTCGTCAACGCCCTCGTCGTTGCCATCGCCATCCCATCGGCATCAACACAGCATGAGGGTTGCACGGACGAAACCCAGACGAAGCTCTTGGGAAGAGTGCAAGCGAGGATTGCGCAGGGGTAATTGCTATATCAAAGGCGCCGGCATACACAAGACTATGAGCATGACAGGAAAGGCGAGATGAAGCAGCGCAGCAAAATCAACACCTTCAACAGTATGCGGAGCCCGCAACGCCGGCAGTGTTTGCAAAAAACACAAGGGCGAAATTGGTCATTAAGGTATCCAACTTGTCTGCTGCAATGTTCCATCGACACACCTCGAGGGCCTCAGGGAGGCTTGCAGGCTGGGCATCTCTGGCTTTTTTTTCGGCTCAGTTTTTTCGCTCCAAAAGAGAGCGTTGCTGCACCCTAGCTTCGCTGCAGCCATGGTGCGCCTCCCTCTTGCGTTGGTGGCCTTTTGTGCAGGACCAGTCGGACCGAAAAGAACCGTAGGGGAAAGGGAAACATGAGGGAACTTATCATGATGGCAGCGCCGGCGGGAATAATTGTAAGATGGAGAGTGTGCGAAGAGAAGTAAGGAGGCCACACAACTTTTTGGCCGCTCCTCGCGTCCGGCCCGAACCAAATTCGTCAATGTGTGGGGGAGGTAATACTGTTTCGCATGGTTCCCCAACTATCTTTGGACTGTACATGCACAATGCCTTGGTCTGACTGTTTAGATCTGTTCAGGCTGCTATATACCCCAACTAAACGGGTATCCCGTCGGAGCTGCAATGCTAAGAATAGTAAAAGGTTCCCTCTGCGAGCCCTGAAGTATGATGGCACGGTAAGCCAGCAAAAGCATTCCGTCTTTTTGAGGTTTTTGCTGAATCCAAGCCATTCTTAAATCCGATCAGCCAACTAGCAGCGCTTCCATCCCAATTTGGATATACGAGATCCCACAGAAATCATTCAAGGCTAAGCTTTGCATCGCAACCGACCCTCCGAAAGAAATTCATCTATAGCAACATTAGAGGTGTTCCTTAAGCACGGTATCGTCAGGGTAATTGGACTGGATCAAGCGCGAGGTACGCCGGGCAGGCGCCCCCGGCGGTTCTGCGTGGAATGGTGCACATGTTCGACCCAAATCGCGTTCTCTCTACAGTCCCGCCGTTGCCCTCGGCTGTGAACTCCAATACTTTGTCGCTGTCTAACTTGATGAATCGCGCTCCCGCCACATCCCAGTGCAGATGCAAGTCCTAGCAGGGCCGCCGTCTTTGCCTCCACAGTCCCTCTCACGTTTTGTGGTGGGAAATTCGTGCTGCCGACACATACCAACACCATGTGGTACACGTTTTGGAATGCAGGATGGTCTCGAGAGCTTCAAGGGTGCTGCTGCAGCGGACTGTACGCTCCGGAAAACTAGGTAGGTCTACACTGGCATAGTTGCTAGTATCGTTGTTAATTGGTTTTCCTGGTGTAGGGCAGTGCTTTGGAAGTTTACTAGAGCTGAGCCGAGTCGCGATCGCTGTGGGCCCTGCAAGTCCATTGATACTTGGGGAAGACTTACTGCACCTTTCCTGGTCCGCAACATCCTGGAATCGTTGGCTAAGCCCGTAACCCAAGCTGAACCCTGCGACCCCCAAATCACCCTCCAAGAAGGACTTGGCTTCGGCTCGGCGGGGGAGACACGGCTCCGGGGGCGGAAGCAGTCAAGCGAAGACGCGGCGGAGTGGTCCTTTCTGAACCCGACTTTTGGACAGTAAGACCAGTAAGAGGGCGTAATCCCTACAGCCTTCAAATCCGCAAACCCTGGACCCTGCAATCTTTAAGCCCTGAGTTTAGGTTTTCGCTTCGAAGGCTAAACAGCTGGCGAGTTGCAGGGCTGGGAGCCACAGCGCCACAGCTCAGCTAGCCAAATTAGCTCCGCAAAGGAACTCGTTCAGTTGCAGGGAAAGTTTTCATCAGGAGCTTAGGGCACAGAGAACCCTAGTTATCATCCACTTGCTACGTCCCCTGAGCCTTTTAAGTAGAGCCATGGGATGACATGTGAGATTCCCCCTTAGTGTTTCTAGATTCCGGGCCTTCGTCGAAAACCGGAACAATAAGTGCTATGCGTGAGAACCGGCACCCGACGCGATACCATGATTCAACGGGGGCGTTCATCTGATTTTGCGCTACCTCCACTACCTCTCCTTAGGAAATGCCAGAGAGGAGGGTTTATGGTACATATTTTTGGTTGGAAACTATGGGGCACGTCATGCACATATAGAGGAGAGTGTGCATACAGGTCCCTTCTTGGGAATACTGTAGTGGTGAAGACCCTCTGTGAAGCTGCAAGAAGAACTTAGGAATCCAGAGATCCTCGTCACCTTGGCCATTTTGGAAGCCTGTTACCGCTTTCTGGTTTTGGCGAGTGAGTTCAGGGTTGGCATTTGTGGGCTGAGATGTTGGGATGAGTGGACGGGTAGTAGCCGGGTAGTAAATACTCATTGTGCCGGGTGTTCCCTGCGAGGCTCAATTTGAGCCAATGTGAGCCTTCTCCCGCACAAAAACTGCTACGGACCATTTTAAAACCGGCCAAGGTGTGGGATGAGGAGACCGTGATACTTCCCGGTGGCCACGAGCGCTACAGCGGGTGGTTGAAGACTCTCTGTTGAGCCTTCGGAACCTCTCGTGTTTCTTGAGCCCTCTTGGGTTTCATAAGGGTTGGGTTCACAAGTGGTTGGGGTTTGTGGGCTTCAGCAGTTTAAGCTTTTGGTCATTACGGAGCCTGTTTCCGTGATGTGTTTTAGAAGGCGTCTGTTGTTTCTGGGTCGATACGATACGAAGCCACAAAAAGCCTTACCTCTTCCCAGGACTGCTGAACAGCTTGTAGCCTAGCTCGTGTCTAGGACCTCGGTTTCGGTAGTCATGATGTCAGGGGACCGTCGAATGGGATCTCCTTTCCCTACCATAGTAGATGGCTCAATCCCCAAACACTCAGCCCTCGACCTAGTCAGCTATGCGGGTGAGAAAACTGCAAGAAACCCTGCCAAAGGCCTTCAACTCTTCAACCCTGATCCTAAACCCCGAAGGCCTAAATGCTCTACTCGCAAAGAAAGAGCGGGGGTGCGAGAGAGAGCGACAGAGCGAACGAGTACCCAGGACTCCCCTCGTACATGACCTGGCCATGTCACCCTACGAAGCGGTGCCCTACATTTGCCTCCGGGTGCCAGGGCTGAGGCTGGTTTTCAGGGCTTCGTAGGGGATTCAGGTTTCAAGCGTTTTATTCTACTGAGGGGTTCGCAGGTATGGGGTTTAAGGTTTGGTGCTGTAGGGTCCTGAGGTGTTGGGCTGTGGATTCGGGGCTTCAGGCGCTGCAAACCTGGCCGGCAAAATATTCTCACAGATTATGCTCCGATATTATTACCGTGCACCCACTGCCCCCTTCAACCACTACGTCCCTAGAACCCCGCCACCCCGCATAAATCCTAGAACCCGCGAACTGGTAATCCAGTGTAATCCTGCAACCCCCGAATCCTGAAACTTTTGCCTTTTCTGCTTCCGACTTTCGGCCCAGAACCTATGAGGTAAATGGAATCCCTGCGACACAGCAGCCTGCCCAGAACGGGCCACTGCTGATCCACTGTGGTGGGCCAGGCAGAGCTTCGGGGATTCTTAGTTTGTTTGCGGCTTCGGATTGAAAAATTAGGGCCTAGGTCAGCGTTTGAGAGAAGGTTTCAGCGTGGATTTCAGGGCCATTCGTCGGCTCGGAATTTCTAGATGTTGAACCCTTCAGCCCAAGCCCAGACCGCATGAATCTAGATGCTACTGGAGGCATCTGAACCCTTCGAAGGTTGCCAGGGCTTCATTTACTAACTATCGTGCCACAACGAACAGGGAACGACAGACGCGCAGTGAAATTGGTAACCTGCACTTGCTGGGCTCACAGCGCCACCGCGCTGCTCTCCAAGAATCGCACTGCCGCCGAATAGCTGCACAACACCGAAGTCAAAACCCCCCACAGCAGGTCCAGCATGTAATTCCATCTCATGGCCAACTTTGGCGGTGTTGTGGTTTTGTGTAGGTTTAGGGTTTCGGTTTAAGGCGCGGCGGTTGTTTTGGCAGTCCTGCGGTCTCATGCCACTGGTTTAGTAACCATATTTAAACCGTGTGGAACAAGATGCGCGGCATGGCGCTGAGGGCAAGATATCAGTAGTACTCGTAGCAACGCAGGAGGTAAAGAACCAAACCCTGACAAATTTCAGAG